GGAACGCCGGTGCAGCCCGGCTGCTCCTCGCCCAGCAAGCAAGGCCACCCCGCCGCGACACGCGGGGACTTTCCAAGGGGGCCGTGCAGGGGGAGGTAGGGGGTGACGCGGAGGTGCTGCAGCTGGCTGAGGACAGCGTAATGCTGCGGGGAGAAACGATGGGGAAGGTGTAACACGCTGCAGCAGCGGAGACGGGGGGAGAAGGGAACAGGGCAAAGATCCTTGTCCTTCTGGTACTGCAGGAAACGCGTTTCTCCAGCTGGCATCAGGTTAGAGACACTCGCCCTCCCCCGGCGCCTACTCGAGTCCCCAGGTTCCTTGGGAAGGGAAACACTCGGAGCAATGCGATTCCAGGCTGCAGAAAGGCATAAACCACAGAAACCGTCCTTTCTGGCCATCCCGTAACTCCGCTTTCTTACAGCAGCCAGGGGCCAGGCCACAGGGCCAAGTTCCGGAAGCTGGAAGTTCCGTCGGGCAGCAGGGCACAGCGCCAGCAGACGGGTGGAGAACGGACCTGGATACAGCGAGCGTCGGATGCTGCTCCGACTGCGCTAGCCGAGCACGGCAGCAGCCCCCAACTCCCCGCCTGTTGCTGCGCGAAGCGATGAGGCCCTGGTTATGGTAAAACTTCCTTTTTTTTATTGAAAAACCCGGGTGGGAAGAAAGACATTATTTACACAAGCTCTCGAGCGCAGCTCAACTCAAGAACGTCTCATCGGGAACGCGGTAAAAGGGATGCAGGTCCAAACCAGAATTACGGAGGCTACAGAATAGGGCTCCCTGGTAAAGGGAGAGCGTCAGATGAGATCAGCGACTGAAACGAGAGAAAACGGGAAAGCCTGAGCATGCACGGAGTACTGGAGCCCGTCGGAACCTACTGCTGTTCCCAGGTTCTTCCCCAGGGGAAGCGAGGAGGGGTCGGGCTTGGACTTTTTTTCTTTCCGAGGCCGCACGCCAGCTCCCCGCCGGAGGAGGGCAGCGGCCTCGCTGGGGCCAGCCGGCGCTTACCGTTCATGGGCATCTCGTCGATCTGGGTGGAGTAGTACTGCTCGATGTCCCGCAGGATGCGGATGTCGTCGTTCTTCACAAAGTTGATGGCCACGCCTTTCCGGCCGTATCTGCCTGACCGGCCGATTCTGCCGAGGCAGGAGGAAAGAGAGGATGGAGTCACCTTGGGGAAGGGCAACTTGGCGGCGGAGGGCAACAAGCCCCGTGGAGGCTGAGCCTACCTGTGTATGTAGAGCTCTCTGTTGTTGGGCAAGTCATAGTTAATGATCAGGGACACCTGTGGCACGTCCAGGCCTCTGGCCCAAACATCCGTTGAAATAAGGACGCGGCTGCGAAGAGAAGGGCTGGTTACCGCTGTGGCGTCTCAGCGAGGCCGGTGTGTGTGCTGATGTCGTCTCCAGCACGGGGCAGCCCCTGCTGTCCTGCCCCCCTCCCTCCTCGTGGCGAGAAAAGCCGTTAGGTGCAGCATCGCCGCGCTTCAGGGAAGGCAGCGCTGACCTCTCAGAGAACGTGATGCTGCCAGGAGGTTAAAATACATGACAGAGCCCAAATACGGGGTTTTTTCCTTGACTTATTTTAAATGCAGCAACTCCCAACTTCTCCAGCAAAGTAGGCGGCTATTTCCGTAAGTATGAGCATCCCTCCTTGGAAAACAGGGAAAATGGCCATCTCCCAACCCAGCGACACCACAGGGGGACAGACGGGAGTCAGAGCTCTTCCTAATCTGAGCTAACAAGGCCTTCGGAGAGCTGAGGCTTTCCTGGGTTCCCTTCAGAGGCCCGAGAAATCACGCCCTGAGGCAGCAGTTCCGTAAGAGACACTGTTTAAGGCACTCACCTTGCGCCAGATCTGAACTCTTTCATAATGGACTCCCTCTCCTTCTGCGGCATGTCCCCGTGCATGGACGAAACGGTGAAGTTGGCCTCCCTCATCTTCTCCGTCAGCCAGTCCACCTGTGCGTACGGCCAAGCAGCCGGGGTTAGCGCTCTGCTCAGGAGAGCCCGACGCGCTGGTTCTGCCCGCAGAACGCTCGCCGAGACACGTGCGCTAAGGGCCGAGGCGCCCGCACGTAAAGATAACCCTTACAAGCCGTCAGCCAGATGGCACGGGGCGCCCTGAGCCCCGAAGGAAAGGAACTAAGGGCATCTCTTCAGAAAGGGTGATTTTGTTTCAGGGAGTATAGAAGAATAAGCACGTTCTCACCTAATCAGCTCTACTTCTCGAGAAACGCAACTGTATCAGGTCTGCTCATAACCCTCTGGCACGCCCCAAAGAACCTCTGTTCGCACTGAACTGTTCCCAAACGGGAGAACAACCAGACTGCTTAACTGGGTTTGTCCCAGCATTCCCCTCGGAGCCCCCCCTCTGGAAGTAACGGGCCCATCTGACGGCTGCCGTACCTTTCTCTTGGTGTTACAGAAGATGACAGCCTGGGTGATGGTGAGCGTGTCGTAGAGATCGCACAAGGTGTCGAACTTCCATTCTTCCCTCTCCACAGCCACAAAAAACTGCTTGATTCCTTCGAGGGTCAGCTCATCACTGTAGGGAAGAGCAGGCGAAGACATACAACGCAATTAGAAGGATGGGGTGCGCTTCCGCGGAGATCGCACGCCAGTCCAAGTTGTTTACAGAGCCCCGGGGAAGTCTGCTCTAAGGACCTCCAACGTGACCCCTGCAACAGAGTGAACTCCCAGAGCACCCTCAAGGCAGTTTTGAGGGAAAACGTTCCTGTGCCCACCATTTCTACATCCGGGCTTCTTGAGAAGAGCGAAGCAACGTAATGGGGTGGTGTAAGAGATGAGGCAAGAGGGAGGCTCCTCCTGTGAGGCTGCCTACACTCACTCCTCTCCACTCCCGCTCCGTTCCAACGTATGAGGACCCGCGACACCACCAGACATAAGCTACACCTCCAAGAACATTCAGGATCAGTCCGCAACAGGATTTTCTGGCTTGCTATATAACAGCAAATTCGCCAAAATCCCGTGGAGGAGCACAGGAACTGGGCAGGCGTGGAAGAAGGATTTCCCGAAGAGACTGCTGTACACGGGGAGGATGAGAGGGTGGGAGGGGGGGCAGTCAGGCTGAGCAGCAGCAAACAGGACTGGACAAGGATAAAGTCAGAGAGAAAAATCAGCCTCTGGTGGAAAAGAGGCCACGAGGATGTCTGCAAACACCTAGGCCAACTGCAAGAGGAATGCGAGAGACCCTGCCCGTTTAACTCAGTTAATACTGTGAACCACCCGGGGCTGGGCCAACTCAAAGAGCTCCTGCTCCTTCCAAGGAAACTCACTCACCGTTTGACCAAGATGCGGATGGGATCCGTCATGAATTTGTTGGTCATCTCCAGAATTTCATGAGGCAAAGTGGCGCTGATCAGAACCACCTGGGTAGCTGGAGGCAAGTACCTGTACACGTCGTAAATCTGCTCCTTGAAGCCTGGAAAGCAAACCGAGCAGCACAGAACAGTGAGCATGTCCTTCTCCCACACGCCCTGCTCTTTCACAGGTTGATCTGGAACTCAGTACTGGGCCTGTGCTATCAGATGAACACTGCGGAGTGAATCAGTAACTCAAAGCCGGTGTCGCACATCCCACATCTCTTCCCAGTTTTCCCCAACCCATTACGGTGCGGCCATGGTACACAGTAAAGCATGAAAGGGAGTGCTCAAGCCTGAAAATGACACGACAGCTACATCAGACAGAACATGTTCAGTAGGTCAACTTGTTACAGCCTGTAATTCACTACAATTGTCTAACCTGGACAAAACCAGTGTTTTTTAGAAGCGGGACTGCCAGCTGGGACACCCTGTAATCTCAAAGAGGGGAGAGGACAGGAAGTAAAAGGGAGACAAATATTTTACCTTTATTGAGCATTTCATCTGCTTCATCCAAAACCAGCATTTTGATGGCACGAGTCCTTAAACTTCGACGACGAATCATATCTGTAAGATTTCACTTGGTGAGAAGAAAAGGCTCCGACAAGCAAGCCAGCCTAAACTGCTCCCAGCCGCCGTCAGGGCGTTTCGGTGGGGGAGGGACAGGCACTTCCCAACTGCCCGCGGAGACGGGTGTTTGGTGAGGGAAGGCCCATCCAAGGCCCACAGCGTGCCACTGCACCCTGGCTAAGGCAGTGCTATTAGTGTGCTGTTCCAAGCCAGCCCAGCTTGGCAACTGCTCATCTTCCCGTTGTTTTGCCTCATGGAGCTGTATGCTCTCCCGCTGACAGGTGCTTGTGTAATAACGTGCTGCCCGTTTCTCAGAGATCCAGACTTGAGCTTGAAGGCTAACACTGTCACTGCCATAACTGCCTTTTTATGCTTCACACGTAGCGTTCGATAAATGCAATTTCCAAGCGATATCAAATCTAAGCCCACGGAATTTGCAGGAGCTTCCCACGGCTCAACTCGGGTCTGACCCTGCAGGGGATGTAGCCTCCCGCATCTCCTTACCAAACACACGGCCCGGAGTGCCGGCAACAACATGCTGCCCGTAATCCAGCTTTCGGATGTCTTCGCCCACGTTGGTGCCTCCAATGCAGGCGTGACACTGGACATTCATGTAGTCTCCCAGAGCAAGAAGACCCTGTGTTGATACAAAGGAATGGCTTCACTAACCGAGCTCTCAGGAGGTTTGTGGGTGTGAAGAGATGCAGGTCAGCACAGCCACACGCTGCTCTTTGAGAGAGATGTAAGCACAGGCAGCTGGACGGTTAACGTCCGTCACCCAAACCTCCTCAACAGCAAGCTGTCAAACACTGGGAACTCAGTTCCCCAGGGAGCACAACTGCTTTAAAAACACTGTCCTTAAAAATTCAGGCAGGAATGTGTAAAACCTTAGACTGACAGCCAACGTGATCGTCTAAGCAAGAACAGACATAATGCAGATGAGCAAGACAGCCCTTTCTCAGAACCTCTTATTCCCTGCCGGAGGAGAAAGAAAAAGCAGCAGCTGTGCTCTGTGCTCTGCTGGGGAACACCCGACAGCCCAGGCCTTGCTTTGGATGGCGATGTAAATGTTCCTACCTTCTGAATCTGTACAGCCAGCTCCCGAGTCGGTGCCAAGATCAATGCCTGGGTCTCACGAACCTGGGTTAAACAGGGGATAGGAGGAAGGTTAATCGCAGGGCAGGCACCATCCAAGCACAGGAGATTACAGATCCCACGGCACTCTGAAACGTCACATCGGAGGGATTCACTTTTGTGCTCAAACCTAGTGTTTGCAAAGGTCAGTACACCTAGAAAGCTGCTTTCACACGCAGCCTTTACACAGCAACGGCCTCCTACGTTACTTTTGACCAGGCAGCACTTAAGCAGTTCTCATTTTTCATTCCAACCTAACTTCTGAACACAGCCGTAAAAGTGTGCACTTTTACTGCAAAAGAACAGAAATAGGGTTAAATCACTTCCATTCTGCATGTTCAGTTCAGATAAACACCTTGAATTGCACCAGGACTCCAAGGTAACGTTCCAAAGCGTCACATTCAAGCGCTTCAAAGAAACGAAGCGTAAAGCTGACTTTTTCTATTTAGAACACTCAACATTTATGTTACGTCCCCAGGCAGTGCCAGGTGAATAACCATCTCAGCTTTAGTTACGAGGGTACTGGCCCACAGAAAATCATCATTTTCTTCAAGCACATGATTTTATTTAATCATGTGCACATGATTAAAATCATCATTTTCTTCAAGCTATGATTAAAAAACATCAGATGGACACGATACTGCTGAGCAGAACAAAAGCCTCTGCCAGTCCCAAATCTAGGTTTGATTCTGTGCAATGTGCACCAACTGTTCAGACAAGCTGCTGATGCTGTCAGGACTGCTGGAGGACAATTCGGCCTGCTGAGAGATTAATTTAGCCATCTAGTAAGTATGTGAAAGAGGTCAGCCGATAAAGACAACTTTTTAACTACATGAGTTTATCTGAACTTCTTTTGCAGAGGTGGCTTTAACAGTTAAATTGTTACACGGTAGTCTGGTGAAATTTTCCGTCAGAAATTTGTCCCAAATTCACTGCTTAGAATTAAAACATGTTAATGTAAAGCTTCGTTTATTCACTCTAAAAAAGGCTGTTTCAATGAAAACTCTCCAGATTTAGTTAAAAAAAACAACCACCTAACCCCAAAACCCAACACATTTTTAGTATGCGCTATGAGATTACCTGTATATCCAGGCACTGCAGAACAGAGATGGAAAAGGTCGCTGTCTTCCCTGTTCCTGACTGTGACCTGAGAAACAGATGTTTGGTGAATATTCCACAGCTCCGGAAAAACAGCACAGGGAATTTCAGCTTATCCCACCCCTCTGTTCTTTGCCCCTCCTTCACTGCAAAGAAGTCAGTAGTGCCAAGAGCATACCTGATCTACAGCTCTGAGAACTGCAATATCGGGGATAGACTCTGCTGCAGGGTCCCCAGCTCTGGGATGTTTACTCCTTATCAGACCAGGATTTTAACTTCCTGTGATTTGTTGTACACAGGGTTTTTGTGGAAGTAAATGGTAGGTAAGCTAATAAAGTTTGGAAGGCTAGCGATTTCCACTAGTGACCTATAAAGGATTTTTTTCAATTAGATGCATATCCTTTTTCTCTAGAGGCAAAATTGATTTTCTTCTGCTCACTTTTTCCCTTTGCTGAGACTGCAGTTGACTCTATACTTCTCTGGCAGTGCTTGAAAACATTCCCGAGAGCCCTATTCACTGAGAACACACAGGATCGTGCTCAATCTTGATGACAGTTACATACCTAGACCTGACACGCTTTGCTGTTAACGACCGTTAGGATCACAATCCGCGTGCCAGTCAGCCGGTTTCACCCCGCA